GAAAGGGTTTTGGAGGTTGATGCCTCGGTGAACGTGAGTTGAATGGCTTTCTTGTCCGCAGCAGCAGAAAGCATTTTCGAATGTTTGAATGAATCAAAGTGGGTCGCCATCGTCGATTTTCTCTTATGCTCCAACACACAGTTGCACGGGGTGCAGAATAGTTTCCCCCCACTTTTTGCCCGGTCTTTAGTAGAAATGTTCGTTGGTAAATGAGCTCTATACAGTGTTGTTTACATTCTGTGATGCGCGAGCTGATGACGTCACGTCAAGACGAGTTAACTTTTTTTTCTTCTCAACTTTGTGTGGAAAAATGCGAGGATTATGCGGCCTTTTGATAAATATGCGGCCTTTTAAAAATCTGCGCCATTTTGCTGATTATGCGGTAAATTCTGCGATCGCAGAATCGCGTTTTTCTGGAGGGTCTAGTTTGTGTCCCCAGTAAATATCAAAGGGTAGAAATATTTAGGCTAACATTATGCATGACATGTAATATAGATTTATTCCACACCTGATTTAATTTCTGACAGTTATGAGAGAGTGAGTCTGTGTTTGTTAAAGGGCTGATGAGATGAATGAGAGCTGGTGGAAAGCCTCCACCTCCGCTTTGATTCTGAGATTGATTCTTCTCAAAGGAGACTCAGATGTGACTCGAGCCACAGCTTCTAATGATGCGGCCTCCAAACTTTTAATGGACGCATTCATCAGAGTGGAAAACCCTTTGACTCACCCACCTCCCACCTTTTTCCCTCCCTCCATCTCCATCTTACAAATTCAGTTAAATTCATTTCCGGATCTGTGATGTTCTGCAGCGTCTATTATAGGATATGTGAAGTCATTCTGGTATATTCTGCCTCAGTGATCAGAGCGTTAGTGCACCGTCTCTGAGCCTGAGGCCGCACATTAACGGAGGATTAGATCTGCACGGCGATATTAGCCTTACTGACTCGAGGAAATAAAACATAATGTTCTCCACTGTTCTTGACCTTGATCTTCGTAGTTTCGGGGTAACTCTTTAAAGGTCTCCTATTGTACTGTTTTTCATCAATATATTATAGGTCTCAGATACAGAACATGTCTCTGAAGTTTTTGGCTCCAAATACCAAACGGATCATTGCAGCATCCCATAATCCCCTCTGTTTCAGCCCTGTTTCAAAAGTGCTGATTCTCTGTCTGTTACTTTAGATGAAAATAAGGAGCCTCTCCCCACGCCCCTCTGAGAGATATTTGGTTAAAAATAAGTTAACACAATGGTGCTCTAGGAGGAGATTCAGGTGATAAGGTGGGGGGGGGGTTACCTTGGTTGCTGATTGGCTAATGGTTACACAAGCCAAAAAATCGTTATGACATCATAAAGTGGCCAAAATCTGATCAGCTCATTTTCAGACAGGTTTTTATATTTATATTTAGATCAGGACAAAAAGAGAGAGAATATGTTTTCCTGAAACTTTCAGAATCTCTTTACACAGCCCCGCTGTGTAAAGAGATTCGTGAAAAAGTGGATTTTGCATAATGGGTGACCTTTAAAGCTGTCTTCACAGTGAAAACACACAATTTGGCAAGTTTCAAGTCAAGGTTAATGCAACCATGAACCTTCGTAAAGGTGGATGACGGTGCAGTTTATGATATAGACTTCTTGTGAGTTTATTAAAATATTGTATGTTTAAACATATATGTTGCATGAACTTAGGAGAAGAATTTGAAGCTGATCAGATTCAGAATACCTTTATTATTCCCACAGAGGGGAAATTTGCAGCGTTACAGCAGGAAAGAGCCACAGACAGCTTAGTGTTGCATATCTGACATGCGTTAAAAAAGTATTAAGTTATAATATAATAAACAACCAACACAACAATATGCTAAAAAAAGATAAAAAGTTACATCATTTTCAAAATACAGATCAAAAACAAATCAAATCCTGTAGCAGTTCTTAGGATTTAGCAGCCCGGTATATATTACAGTTATTAAAGATGGCATATGTATATAAAGTATATATTGCACATAGTTTGACGGTATTTAACAGCAGCAAGTTACAGTACACAATTTACAAAATACAAGATACATACCTTGTAACAGTGACAAGGGTTTAGCAGCCAGGTATAAATTACACAGTTATTAACGGCATATATATATTTATTTAACTTTTTTTATTTATTTACATATCAACTTAATTTGACTCGTGACACATTTGATATTGCTGCAACCCAAAACTTTTCTTAATTTATTCATACAATCATTTGGTCAATAAAATACAGACAGATCCTTTTGAACATTTACCACTGCCCAAAGAGACCTATTGAAATGGCATGGGGGAAACGTACCGTACCCAGAATATATTTAAAAAGAAACAATGAATTGTTTCGGTTATAGAAGGGGGAAACATTAACATTTTGGGGATTCATTTTCAGTCAAATGCTAATGGACCATCGATTTATCGTTTCTGCTCTGGTGTTGCATAAAGTCGAGGAAGAGCGAGTTCATGCGGATGATTCATGGTCCAAGTCTCAAAACCACAAATGACAACCGCTGAATGTTAAAATAGATCAATACACTTTGGATGGAAAGCATTATGCACATCTCTGGAGACAGACGTGCGGTGGATGGTTATTGATTTCCATCTGAAAAGGGAATCAAAAAGAGACCCGCCTGTTATGATGCATTAAGCGGGAATCTGAAGAAGAGTTCCACCAAGCACTCAGAGCCGGTTACTTTCTGTTACTGAGAGGGACTCACTTCTAAAACTGCGGCTGCTATCAGGAAGTAGCTTTGTTGCATCACTCGGTAACAGAGAAAACAACAGTGGCTGTGATTCATCTGATAAAATGCCATTTTATCAGATGTTTCTTCTGCACTGTTTCTTAATGTCTTTCATTTTTGTAAACGCTTTGAATTGCCTCGTGTTGAAAGTTGCTGTATAAATAAACTTGCCTTGCCTTGATAGCAGGAACTACCTGTGGTTGATAATATAACCTCCGACAAACAGTGAAATAAAGAAGCATATTGAACTTAAGACAAGTACAAGTTAAGCTGCGGTGTTGACTAAGGAGCTTGTTGAACAGTATTGTGTAGCCTCAGCTTTCTTTACTGCCCACCTTTAGAGGAAATGAATACACTTCTTCTTGTTGTCAAAATATATATAAAATATTTTGAATAAAGCCTTTCAATTGTGTTTTATTGTCAGAGTTTATAGATGTGTTAACTTCACAGTCTACTGTATATTTTCTACTTTTTAATGCTGGTTTAATTCCATTTTTAGATGTTTAAATTCTAGTATTGTTTATTTCTACTCTAATTTTCTACTTATGTGCAATGCCTTGTTTTGTTTAGTTTCCTATGCTTCTGCAACGCAAACATTTCCCAATGTGGGATCAATAAAGTACCTCTTACCTTATGTTATTATTATTATTATTATATTATCTTAAACGACCTTCCCAACAATGCTCCACCACCTTTGTGAATAACTTTTCTAATTGCAATGCAGTGTATTCAACCTTTTTATGAAGGTGTGTTCTCTGTAGAGTCACAGCTGTGAGACTTAGTCCACCTGTTTGGTTTTTGTTGCAGTGGCACCAGTTGGAGCTGGGGCTGGGCCTCAGCCGGGAGCAGCATCCTGGCTGAGTTCGGGACCCTCCACCTCGAGTTCGTCCATCTGTCTGAGCTCTCCAGGAATCCAATCTACACGGAGAAGGTGATATAATTATACAGTTTACACATATAGATCACATTTCCATTCTCACTTTACAGGGCTGAAGGATTGGTAAGAAATCAAATGTTTTGGTCATTTTGACTGATATTGTAGTTTACGTTATTGGAAGGAATTATTATTTTTGCATCATGATTCTGATTAACAATGGAAAATACTATGGTGTGATTTTCTATTGCACCTGTGTGTACATAAAGTAATAATGATTTAAGTTAAGAAAAAATGGTGTTGGTCAAAAACATCTCTGCTATCATTCTACTTACATAACAATGGTATGTTTTTAAACTTTTTGACAATGGTTTTCTAGTATTTGTATTCTGCAGGAGGGTTCCCAGGCTTGAAGCAGTGATAGAGTAGATGTTGAATGTGTAAAACTATTTCCGTGCAGTATCCTGACCATAACACTTTGTACCTTTGCAGGTGATGAACATCAGAAAAGTACTGAACAAGATTGAAAAGCCACACGGCCTGTACCCCAACTTCCTCAGTCCTGTCAGCGGCAACTGGGTCCAACGTAAGTTCTGCGTTAGCTTCATCTGGAGGCTTCAATCTGATTAAACATCTGTTAAATTATTGTGATAAAATTATTGATATAGAGTTCTCATTGTAACGAAGAACAAGGCCAAGGGCTTTCTGACATTGTTAGAAGAAAAAACATAAGGTGAACAGCATGACGCATTCTTTTCTTACCTTCTTGTCTCTTCATTAAGTTAAAAAATTCAAAGATTCAAAGCTTTATTGTTACGTGCACAACACCTCTGGCAAAGTACGGCAAAGAGAATCTCAAGTCCCAGGTTCCTCCGAATAATGTAACATCCACTATATTTCACTTTGAGGTCATTTAAAGTCTTCTCACATTTTCTACCTTCCTCTTTTCTGTCATGGGGCTCATCACCGCTGACAGACCTGGAGTCAGCTCACGCACCAAAGCTCTTCAGGCCGCTCGTCTGTGTCACCCACCCATCCGTCTATTCCCTTTCACTTTTAATATCACTTCATAGCCGTGGCTATATAACTCCCAAAGCTCCGGGTTATTAAAATGATAATGAATTCAATTACTTCAGGAAATTGGATCTTCCCGATTTACCTGAAAGGAGCTGGAAAAAAACAAGGCGACTCCGGGCCTGAATAGGTGGTAATCCGGATGATTACAGAGGCTAATTGTTGTGGGTGAGCGTGTATAGAGGCAAACTATATATTTATCGCCACAAAGGGAGAAACAAAATCGGTGCTTCACAGCTCACCCTCTCCCGTCAGTGTCAAGGACAAACACAGCAGCTCTGTGATAACCTTCCGGGGGAGTCAACGTGTGTGTGTGTGTGTGTGTGTGTGTGTGTGTGTGTGTGTGTGTGTGTGTGTGTGTGTGTGTGTGTGTGTGTCGCATAAGTGGAGAAATGCACGCCTCCACTGCAATATCATACTCACCTTTATAAGGAAAGTGTGAACTGTGGGGGATGATCAACAGCCACTCTTTACAGAAAGCTTTAGGCGTGGTACATAATTATTTTAAGTTCAAATAAACTATTTTCTACCCTCAGTGAACAGAGAGCGTGTGGGTCCATGGAACATGATCGTGCACGCCTAGGATTCACCAGAGAAGCAAAGAAAGAGAGACAAAATGTAGACAGTGCAGCATTTATTGGACTGTCTACCACAGGTCACAACAGATGATGATATTATGTAACTGTGCATCCAGAAAACCAAACGCAGCTTATTCAGACGTGGCGGCCTCTAAAAAGGATTTGTTTATAAAGTTGCAATTAAGATATTTATGTATTATACATATTTAGCATTAGCAGTGTAGCGGGCGCCTGAGGCTTCAGATTTTCCTTGCCAACGACTTCTTATCTGGCATTATTTTGCATATGATGAATAAAAACAATAGTGCAGTAGCAGTGTTACATAAAGGTGCTTAAAGGTATAATTCATTAGATGAATGGATTTAGCTATATAAGCGGTATTAAATGGATAGATGAATGAAACAACAAACACGATTTATTCTTAATATATATATTTAAGTTTTAAGCCCTTTATGAGATAATTAACTTTTACATTACATTTAGCTGACACTTTTATCCAAAGCGACTTACAATAAGTACATTCGACCAGGAAGATACAACCTTGAAGAAAACAGAATCATATAAGAACATCAGGTTTCATAGAGCCAAAGCATTTCAAGTGCGAGTCAACTGACTTTAGATAAGCCGGTCCTTTGTTAGTATATAAGTGCTCTTCCCAGCTTTTGTAAGGCAAGGCAAGTTTATTTATACCTTTCAACACAAGGCAATTCAAAGTGCTTTACAAAACTGAAAGACATTAAGAAAAAATATTATAAAATAATTTCATCATCACTCATTTAAAAGGATATGAATTGGAATAAAAAAAAAAAACTCATTTAAAAGCAAAGATAATAAAACATGAATAACAAAGGTATATGAATAAAACGTACAGTGCAGTGTGAGATACACACATCTGAAATGTTTATGTCTGACTCTCAGGCCCCATCCACACGGAAATGAAAATGAAAAAAAAACAATGTCGATATCAAAAAAGTCTTCCGTTCACACGGATACGGCTCAAGAAACGTGTCCCTTCACACAAGACCGCTCAACCTGCTGGAAACGCTGTAGTACATATGCCGGGCCTGTAAGTGGCGCTGTACTTTACAACATCAGGAGGATACGTCCCCAGCTGACCCAGAAAACAGCGCAGGTTCTGGTCCAGGCTCTCGTCATCTCACGCCTAGACTACTGCAACTCCCTCCAGGCTGGTCTGCCTGCATGTGCCATCCGACCTCTGCAGCTCATCCAGAATGCAGCGGCTCGTCTGGTCTTCAACCTTCCTACATTTTCCCACACCACGCCGCTCCTCCGCTCCCTT